TAACAAATTAAACAGACTATTTATAGCTGTGGTTCCCAAATGGGGGTGCAGGCCCCCCAGGAGTCGTCCATCTGCCACACAGGGACAAATTCACTAATTGGACTGTTTTTCAGTTAGAACATGTTTTTAGGAATTAAAGTGGTTTTACACAGCATATATATCCATATATATCTATAATTATTCATCTTTTTATCTATTTAATTCCCTTTCTACCTGCAACTTTCTCAAATGACAACTTATTTATTCATACAGAGATCTTAATGAAAGCTCTTATATATATATATATCATATTATCCAATGATGATAATCATCTGATTTTGTTAATAAGTATTGAAAACACATCAGAGTCGCACCATTAAACAGATGTTCCCGTTAACCACAGTTGTGGTCCTTCTTTGAACCTTTACCTTGTAAATCACTGACTGATGTTGCCTTTTGTCAATAGGATGTCATAAAAAACTAAATAAAAACGTGGTTATAAAAAAAGCGTTTATGTGTCCGAAATCATTGTGTCTTCTTATACCTCACTGGTAGTCACTACTCAGAAGTCAGGGCTCAGAGAACAAAGGTCTGATAAAAGCATCGTCTTGTTCTTTTTAATCACCTTCTGTCCAGCTCATGCCCTTCCCTGCCCCAAAGAAATCATTAACAATAGAAATGCCTCAGGTTTTCTCCAGTAGACTAATTATGATGTACATCTGAAGAGTGTGCCTTCCTTCAGACAGATTAGATCAATTAGATTTTCTGTGAAACGTAAAAAAGACCCCCGAGACCATCCTCAGTTGGACAACCTGCTGATTCAGAGTCTGGAAGGAAACTTGATGAAATAGAAAAGTACAGCATTTCAAGCACAAATAGATTTTAAACTGATGTACTCACAAAGTTTTTGAGCTAAAAAAAACAATCACCAACAGAAGTGTTTGCAGCACTCATCCAGCTAATCTTCCTCCACTGAGACAAAACACTTTTTTAATACTGCCATCGAAACCCATAGGTCCTCAGAGATCCAATAGATAAAAACCTAATATGAAAATGCAATCAATTGGACTGCAATAAAGCCAGAAAAATAAACAGCTGCTGCAGTAACTCCCAAATGGAATTTATTGTTACAAACCTGAGAGGAGCTGAAATGTTCTTCGCAGCAATTCTCAAAGTGAAAAACTGGGCGTATTTATGGACACACCAGGAGCCTGTAGCCACTAACCATTAGCATTTGCACAGATAAAATTCGAGTTGTTGTCAAACTTGCTAACACAGAGCCAACGCTCGATTTTCCAGTCTGAATTAGACTTAAAGCAGCAAACTCATATTCTACTCCAATTCTATATTGAAAAAAAGAGGAGAAAATATGGAGAAAGAAAAAAACTTTGTGTTTGTGTTAGATCTCTGGAGTGGTTATCAACCTTTTTATGAATTTATTACATTGCTTTATTTCATCGATTTAATCACTAGAGGTCACTAAATTACAGCTTCTACGTACTCATGGCACTATCGCACAAAATAGTTTTCAAATTAAGGGTGAAACCATTTTGTTAGTATGTTTTAAATGTCATACCTGTGTGGAAATCTGCTGTTATTTTTGTTTATTTTGAGTTGAAACTGAAGGACACTGATTTCCTTTGACCACCACCAACTGTTGGTTCCTGCTCAACAACAACTCAATGAAAACTAATTTACAAGGGGGAGAATGGATGACAAATTTGGGTGCATAACACCATCTGCTGGATGCAATTAGGGGAGTTTCATCCTCCGCTTCAGGAGCTCCATCAGGATGACAGCAGTGCCAACATGGCATGATGGGTAATCAGTTCAAGGTCTTGCCAAAACAGAATGGGCACCAGGTTCTCTACAATGACCAACAATATGAGTGGCAGACGGCCTCTCTATCTGCCTCCGTCTGTCCAAATGATATGTTGTTATCATCTAGTTTGAAACTACAGGATCCTGGACCCAGATTAGGTCAGATTTAATTCATATTAATGTTCCAAACGTACGGTCAATTGGTGTTAGAAGGGTGATATTTCCAATGTCAGGTCAGGTAAAACAACATGACCAGTGTTAGCAGATTATATTCACAGACTATATGAGCTATGAATTTAGAATGTTGGTTAAGTTGCTGGAAAACACAGATGTGCAAAAAAAAAAAAAAAAGTAGGTGTAAGTTCCAAATTTTAATCAGGAGCTTGAAAATAAACACAGTGCCAGGAGGCACCACTTTGATTTCTCCCTAATGCGGACTGAATTATTTAGGCAGCCGTGCAATAATCATGAGAAGAAACAGGAATAGTTTTGGGTGTGTGTGAGAAAACATGCTGTCCTGATGGGGATACCAGCTTTATGAACAAGGCGCTTCCTGACGCTTCAAAACCCGGAGAACAGCAGGAGGTGACAGTCTGATCTAAACATGTCACGACTACAGTCAGAAACTCTTTCCACCTCAGTAGATGTCATCACGGACTACACGTGCAAAGGATCCTGGGTTTGAACCCCAGAAGAACCACATGTTCCTAACGGGGCCTCCTGTGTGAGAGCCTATGAGTTGTAACCACATACTCAACTGCGTCACCCATGACAGCCTGATGGGTTGCTAAGATTCACATTGTGGGACAAATAAAAAACTGAATTATTTATATGTCACTATTATCCACATTAACCAGCCACGACAAATAAAAAACTGAATTATTTATATATCACTATTATCCACATTAACATGTGGCTGGTTACCGCCCATGTAAAAGTGCACAACACGAAAACTTTTGTTTTCATGAAAGGAATCGATTCATGTTGCGTTGCATTTGTAAGACTTTTTGAGAATATTTGACCAAAAATATGAAACAAGTCTGTTATAGTTGAGCCAAACGTTATTAAACAATTAAAAAAAACTTTCAATGTCATTTCTAAAAATTCTATGTTGCATTAACTTGAGTGAACCATTTGAACAGTTTGTTCAGCGGCCCATTACTAGAAGGAGAAAACTAATACATTTGGAGTCTGACTAACCAGAAAAGAACAGCGTTAACAGGGTTTTTGGCTGACTTCCAGTTTTAGCTATTGTAATAAAGTGGGAGGAAAATGTCAAGGCTCAGCAGCCACAGTCATATACCACACATCAGAGAATTCAAGGAGGAGGTTTGGTTGGTTTCGATCTTCTGTGATGGCTGCACAAATTTAATTTACATAAAAAGACTTTAAAAAGCAAGAAACCACCAGGGGAAATGTTAGATTGCATTTGATATAAAGCCAAAGACAGAAGAAGACAAGCTATGAATATTTAAGAAAACTTGAAGAGAAACAGCCATCACCAACAATCAGCCTTGAATAAAAATGAATCACTAAAAAACCCCTGAATTATAAATATAAAGGAGAAAAGGTAGATGAAGACAGGATAGGAGAGGGAGAAGATTGTGTGACATCACGTCACTGACACCAAAAAGTGGCCAATAATCAGACAGTCCTACAGCGCAGTGAGTTAGTCAACAGCACAGTGATAGAAGTGGAGGCCGACGTCAACAGACACCACACAAGCCTGAATACTTTAAAACCATGTAGTCATTACTTACACAACCTTAAATGTTCCAAGTGGGAAGAGAACTGTTAGAAATCAGAACACAGCACTCTTCCACTCAACAACTTGGAATCATCAAGTTTGAAAAAGTAAAGTTTGGAGTTTGATACAGACCAATTATACCTCTCTGAGCTCTGAAGTTTAGTCCTCATGCATAATTTGCCTCCTTATTTCTGAGTGAGATAATTACATGTTCACCTGGGGGTGGGCGCAGAATGAGCCTTTTTGGTTGAAGTCATGTTCTCAATCTGACTCACATTCACACCTGAATGAAGAGTCAAAAAGTGGTTCCATAATGTAGCGGTTATCAAACCTGCCTTACACACAGAAGGTCCTGGGTTTGAGCCCAGAGGAACCACATATCCAAAGGTGCCTTGTGTGGCAGCCTATTTGGGTTACAAAGACTCACAACTGTCAAAGGGATGTTGTTGTTGAGGGACTGTGGACGATTCATTCCACTGAGGACAGTGGAATCTAGTTCATTTTCTTTAGCAATACTTGTGTTTCTTTTTATTTCAATTTCACCACATCCAAATCCATAATTTGGATTAGTACCAAATGAAACCAGGTGTTAAACAGACATCAACAACACAGACATCTACCTGCTATAGAATAAAAAGGGTTTTCTGTCATTTTTCTTCATTCATAATGATGAATCATTAATATTCCAAGTTTCTAAATCGTGTGACAGTCAAGACTTTAAACCTCTTTGGG